TATATATAAAAATATATATATCAAATATATATGTATATTTATAAATTGTCCTGAACTTTGCAGACAGCCTAATATATTACCAGTCATTTATAAAAGAAACGTCCACCTATGAAATGAGAGAGAGATAAATACTTGGTTTCTCGTGCGCAAGATGTTATGCGCAGGCGGTTAAATATAAAATTAAAACATGTCACCGTTGTAGGTACGCATAAAAGTAGAATACAACATAGAAATATAATTATAGACCGCACTATAATATATTTTAATAAAAGAAATGTTAAATTGTCTTCAATTTTTAAGAATACATTTAATTAATAAACTTTGCACTACTTTAACCTCTAAATAGCGTATTATAGCACAAGAGTTTAACATACCCGTTTTCTTTTATTGAGAAAATTGTCACGCATGCGTATAACGAATCAAGTCTTCTATCAAAAAGAGAGAATGAAATCGTCTCAATAATAATATTTTCAATTTATTTTCCAAACTTAATTGCAAAGTAATATTACTACACATGATTTACTTAGACTGCACACCCCCAACCCTTCTTACTTTTTCTCTATTAGTTCATTTCTTGATATTTTAAATTTGTTTATCTGATTATGAGAGAGAATATGAATTGATCGTTTTAATACTTTCTTATTTTTTTAATTTTATATTTATTTTCTTGTTTTATTATTTGGTTATTTTCCAGGCCGACATTTATTTCCATTAATTTACATTCACTTTTATCTACTAGAGTTAAGTGATTTGCGAAAGTAATAATATTCGTCAATTCCGGAATTAGCGGGAAAATTCAATTGAATTCAATCGCCGAAGAGGTAAAGAAATTTTATAATAATTAATTTAACATAAATCCGATAGTAATGCATGATGGTGATATGTTACTCTATCAATTCTCTCTCTCTCTCTCTCTTTCTTTCTCTTTCTTTTAGTGTAAATTAAATAAAATAATAAGTTATTTAATTGTTGCTAATCTATTAAGTATAGAAATTAATTCGATGTCTTGATATTAAATTATTTATAACTCTAGTTTAAATGTAAATAATCGGCTACCATTTTATAACATTTAAGTACCAACACTTATAGTTATGAATCATTTGACAATTAGTCAAAACAAAAACTATTAATATCCAAGATGGCAAGACTCAAATATTTATTTTAAAAAGCCACACCGAATTAATTTCTACACGTAATAAGAGTAAACAAATAAAAATGTAGATATACAAAATTATTACGATTCATTTTTGATAGAGTATATTTCACAATACAAAGATACTACTACTTGCAAAATTCAAATTTTTCTCTAAAAATTCTAATTTGTCAAATGTAGCAATACAATTTATCTTTGCTTTGCCGTCTTTAATTAAATTTAAGAGAAATATTTGATAAATATACTACGTCGCTTTATTATTTTCTATTCAAACGAATCGATAATGATATATCGTTATAGATACGTACGTGGAAATAAATAATTATAATACTCGAAGGATAAATAATCTTCATATAAGCCAAGAAAACTAATTGTAAGACAATTATTTTTCCTTTCATTTACCATTTATATCTGCAATATATATTAAATAATCGTTAATTTTTTTGTTTTGTTTTTTTTTTTAAATACAATCGTATGCGATGGTAAATTAGTCATCGTATTTACAATTTTTTAATTCTTTCTTTCTTTCTTTTTGCTAGCATTTCTTCTTCTTCTTCTTCTTCATCATCATTATCGTTCAACATTTTCAGTACTTTTGCAATTTTATCTTCTTTTGTTTGGTAATCATTCTTATTCTCAGATATCAAATTCTACATTGAAAAAATTAATCAAACATACTTATTCGATAAAACGGTATACTTCTTTGTAACGCAGGTTTTCAAAGTATTCGTCTGATACCGAATATTTTTTCGGATCGATGCGATTCATTCTCGAAATCTCGATGTTAAGATTTCTATGTGTGCATACATATATATATATATAATATATCGTTATAACCCATTGTAAAACGCTACACAAATCTAATCCTTAACGTCAAGAAATGAATACTTTTAGATATATATATATATATACGTGTATGTGTTGTATATATAAGTAATATACGGTGACCATAATAATAGACTTAACTTAATTATTTTTTAATAGCCGAAAAATGAGAACATATGTATCATTTGAAAACGTAAAAGATCTAATTAATAATTTAGAAAATGTTCATACATTATTTAACATAATACTGTTTTGTGTGGGTGTGTATGTGGGTAAAATTGTTTTCTATACGACTTTTAATGTCGTCCACAAAAAGATAGAGATAGAAGAAGAGAGAAAGAGAAAGAGACAGAGATAGATAGATAGATAGATAGATAGAAGAAAGTAGAGATAGAGAAAGAGAATAAATAGAAACGCATACATTCTCTACTTGTCCTTATGTATTATAATACACTAGGGACACTGATACCCGTTCCGATAACATTTATTTTACGTACAGATTATTTCCATCGATTTAAATATTATTTGTAAATATACGAAGAGAGAAAACGAGACGTACGTATGTAAAAATGTGTAGCAATGATCACTTCTTAATAATTGAACGTTCTTAATTAATGTAAAAAACAAAATGTATGATTTAATTAAATAAAAAAAGATAACAGTGCCAAATCAGATATCACATCAGACTTTCGAAATCGTTCTGTTAACGACATTTTACAAAAAGCTTGTTCAATGTTTTAAACATCGAGAATGTATCGCGATAAAAACTCAATTTTTTTTTTTTTTTTAAGACTTCGATATGTGCGTATATACATCGTAAGATAACTTGCAATAAATAGATATATATGATAAAAACAAATAATGTTAATTCTAATGATATATAGTAATAATAATAATAATATTAATAATATTAATAATATATGTAATATAATTAATAATATTAGTAATAATAAAATATTTATAATAATAATAATAATAATAATAATAATAATAATAATAATAATAATAATAATNTAATAATAAAATATTTATAATAATAATAATAATAATAATAATAATAATAATAATAATAATAATAATAATAAAAATAATAAGGATAAGGTTTTGGTAGACGCATATTTCTTTCCTCCATGTATGAAATGATAATAATTATAATGAACGTGTACGCATCAATAAGATACTTTTTTAGATTATACCCCACGGATCGTGGGAGGAACGTACGTTAAATATCAAAAACCGCGCTAAACTTATTTGACTAAATGTTCACGACCGATACACAGCATGTATTTTATGTATAAAATTCGCAAATATTTCTAACAACGTTGTTTCATTAATTCACGATCGGTAAACTTTTTTCTTTTCTTTTCTTTTTTTTTTTTCATTTTTTTTATTACTAAAATAAAATGTTAGACGCTGCGTTATTAGATAAACACTACACCTGGTAAATATAATATGAAAGCGTAAAAATGCTTACGAGCATCATTTTTTTTTCTATTTTTTTGTTTTTTCATTTATAACATTTCCTTTTTTTTCCTTTTTAACACGCTCTGCATTTGAAAAATATCGGAAAAAATAATGGCATAGATTTTTATTCGTGACGTATGCAATAATCGTATATTATAAGAGGAAATCTAAGGCGAAAGCCGACCAAAGATGATGGAGTGTATATTTTTAGGATCAAATTAATTTACATATATATGTGTGTTGTTAAAAAGAAAAGGAAGGAGAGGGAGAGGTGAGGTGGTGGAAGCATAGAATTTTAGACGGAGAGAAATACAAGTTAGATTCTTTTTTTTTTTTCTCGGTATAGGGGGAAATATCTATGTTGTGTAATTTTTATACACGCTTCGCCATTTTTTTTTTTAATTGTATGAAACATTGATTTTAAATAAATTCCAATTTCAAATGTATATTCTTCCTCTTTCATTTCTAATACTTGTCGTCGTTATACACATTGCGATGTATACCATAAAAATATCATTATCCCATTATTTTTATCATTTTTTTGTAAATATCTAATAGTACGTTTCTGCCGTTTTATTATACGTGAGAGATTATAATCCCGATAAAATGTATCTATCCAGCTTACGTCGACAAACGTTGAAATAAATACGCTTTACGAATCAACATTTCTTCTCTTTGTTTTTTGTTTCCTTTTTTTTCTTCTTTCTTCTTTTTCTTTTTCTTTTTTGATATTTGCGCTGTGTGTGCATTTTCAAGAGAACATTATAAATATTAAAACTTATGAAACTTTGATCTCTAAATAGTGACTATCTGATATATAAATAACTTAAACAGTCTTATTATAAATTCATTATTCATATCGAGAATTTTACAATTAAAACAATAATATATAATAAATAGTTCAGATAATACGATCTTTCAAACTTCGTTCTTCGCAACATTGAAATTAACGAAGCATTTGAATGTGACATTATTTTCTTTCATTACCTTTTTTTTTCTTTTACTTCTCTTCACAGATATCCTTATAAAAAACATTAAAACAAATATTTATTTTTAATCTTTTTATCACGAGGAATGGTAAACGAACGTATATATGCAAACGTGATATTTTCAAAGTTATACTATGCATAAATAATATGCGCTTCTTTCTAAGGTATGGAATCACGTGGATACCATATCCCCCACGCTATATATATAGATATATATATACACATACATATATACGTATGTATGTATATATAGACACATTTATTCGCCATCATTATATATGCATCAAGGCTTGTGTTAGTGGAGCATATTGAATCTTTAAGATGATTCTAATTAATTATATCACTTTTAATTGAAATATCAAAGACCCTATACATTTTAAAACTCTTTTAACTCGAATATATCGCACAAATTTTATTTTACTTTATTTTATTTTATTTTATTTTATTTTATTTTTTTCTTTTTCCATTATTCAATCGTACCGAAGCGCATCTGTGACTTTAAAACAAGCTGGAAGCTTATTTAACTTATTTTTAAAGGCTTATATTCGTAAGGCCATTCTAGGCCCCATTTCATTTTTACTCAAAATGGAAGTATTTAGTCTACAAGGTGTGATCCCTGATTAATAATCCCTGTATAAAAGGATTACTCTCTCACAAAATATTAATCAAATTTTATACATATCAAACCCCAATTTTCTAAACTGGTATAAGGGATATAATCTTTGGTTGCCCAAAAGTGACTATCGATGTATCCTTGATTACACTTATTTCTTCAATGGTATAAGAAACCATTTTATACATCATAACGTCCTTTTTCTAGATCTTACGATAATTGCGACTAATCATTGGCCACTGGCAAAATGACCCAGTTATAACATTTCAATCAGCTAAACAAATTATTATTCTTAACATCTTATTTCTGCGCTCTACTTATATCAATCATTTTCTCTTTGTCAACACATAAAAGTAACGATTTCACTCTCTCATAAGAATTTTCTTGTGTTACTTTTTATAAAATTTTATTTCTGATAACCTTTAGATAGAATATTTTTCCAGCAGAATTTGGTCAAAAAAAATAGTTCTTCCAATCGTTCACATTGATCAAAGATAGAATCAAAAACTGTGTTCTTCCCACATTCGTGTTATTCGTTACTTATTTTTTTTTTCACACCTGTGTGCCCTCTTTAGTACGTCCCGTTACCTCAATTAAAAATTCGCGAAAAAAGAATCAAATGGAACAGAAATATACAATCCCTACTTACTGATTTGGCCTTCTTTTGACAAACTAGTTTGTATTCAGAATATCCTGAATATTAGGCTAATATATAAACACTAAAAATCTTAAGGGTTACACATTGAATGGCAATGATAGAAAAAAATAAGTTTTAGTCATTTATGCTAGAAGTAAACTATTGAGACAGAACAGAGCCGAATACGCATATTCAGAAATATTATCAGCCTACTTTTCTTGCCTATCAGATTATTACACATATGTATCTTAATCGGAATCTTCTTCGACCGTTGGAGGTAACATAGCAAGATGTTGAGGGCTTAACATGCCCCTAGAAAGTGCATATTCTGCGAGAGCACGATGACAAAAGACATACTGATCTGGCATTTGAATACTGTAGGCTCTTTGTGCTCGAATTTTTTCTACCGTTCCACGAATGTCGACAGTTCCCGTGTCTTCTAATCGAGATATGCAGATATCCAAGGTGCAAAATGTTCCTGAAATAAGATAAATTTTATAGATATTTTCTTTTAGGGCATTTACTTATAATAAAAATCAACAAATGTTAAATACCTGTTCTGCCAATACCAGCACTACAATGTACTACTATAGGTGGACCTCGTGGATGTCCCGCCCAGGTATCACCCCTACTTGCTAATAACTTATTTTGTTGCTGTCTTACTAGGGATAGGAATTGTAATAAAGCTCTAGCTGATTGAGGAACGCCATAATCCGGCCATGCTGTGTAAAGCATATGACATACCTCTCTTGTCTCATCAGTCTGAATTAGGAAATGAAACAATATATATATATATATATATACATATAATTGATATAATAATTTATGAATAGTCATTATATGTCGTTTATATACCTTGTTGTTTGTAAGAAGGAGCATAGATATCGTATAGTCTGGGTTTATATCGACTTCTAAAGTTGTTACGGTGAAGCCACCTGCTTGTACTTCATCACCTGGCTCTGGACCCCAATACTGTGCACACTTTGTACGCCCTCGTTCTATTACTCTGAATATTTAAAAACATAATTTATATACACACGTTAATTTTATTAATAAAATATAAAAGACTTATAAAGAAATAGAATTTACCTTGTAGTCATCACAATAACAAGAGTTTGCTGTTCCCATATCATTTTCCAAAAATCTCCACATGTCTTTGGAAGAGGTCCTTGAGTACTAATAAACGCGTTTTTTTGCTTGTAACCATCAACAAAATTAGCATTAATATAATCCGACGTTGCATCGCCGTCAACTTGAGAAAGACACACTCTGCTATGATCGTAACAAAGCACATCCGTGTAACGATTTTTTGATTGATTTGGCCTTAATCTGAAAATGTGATATACATATAATCAAAATAATCATTTACAATATTATAAAAGAAAATATTTATAATGACACGTACTTTGCAATATTGAAGGAACCGTCGGGTGGCCTTTGCCTAATTTCTGCATATTCTGCTACGAGACCAGCACGACCTCTCGAATGTATTTCTTCGATAAATTGTTCCATAGTAACTGCTTGCAGTCCAAGATCGCCGTGAAGGCTATCATCGTCGCTAAAACCGGAACTTGCTGAGGACGGAGGCTGTACTGGAGATGGTGCTTCGTCGTTTGCCATCCACACATCACCATTAGTAATTTCAATATCCCCAATGTTAGAAACACCATTCTTTATCTTATTCTTATCGGTTATAGGACTAGTTGGATTACTAATCGGTGTTCCATTGGGATTCTGATGAATCGTATGATTTTTTAACGTAGGTGAAAGTGGGGTTCCCACTCTGGGAGTAACCTATATGATTAAAAACAACAAATTTAATTTAAAATAAAACAAACAATGCTATGATTAGAAAAACAAAACAAAAAATGGAATAATATGAAACGTTTCTTACGCAGACCTCACAGAGTTCACCCCCGCCTCGGTTTGTCATGGATTTAAGACAATGTAATAGCCATGCCTCATGCTGTATCTCCAAGGTGCCTCCTAGCCAATGTGGCAATGATTCTCGTGGTATATGCAACGTCAATTGAGGAATGGATACAGTAAATACTCGGTCCCGCAATTTTTCACGTACGAACAAACGAAGGATTTTGAATGGTGCCTTGAACCAAAGCGGTGCCGTTACGATTAAAACCTTCTTAAGTTTGGCTGGGTATCCTCCCTATAACAATAACCATTTAAATGAAAGAAATTCGATCGGTAATAAGAAATGAAGTAATGCTTTAAAAACGTACGTGATTTTGGCGCTACATGTGTTTATTAATGCAAAAAAAAAAAGATATAACACTATAGAAAAAATAAAAAAGAGAAGAAGAAGCAAAATAGAACGGAAGCGGCGAGGTCAATCAAGCCAAACGATCGATATCATTTATTTTGTTTTTTCTTTTTTGTCTTCTTTAGCTCTATACTCCTCCTTTAACATACGATACGAGTTCCGAGGGCTAAAGTAAAGAAAATGAAAAGAATTTCAATTATCAACCGCGTCAATGCATAAATCATTTTTTAAGCGCCTCGCTCGTGACCTTCAAAAGACATCGCAATAATAGAACAAATGTATACACTTGGTGCATGCAGTGCCAGCTGTAAATGATGCTCGAACTACATATTTAATACGAAGAAATCCTTTGCCGATATATGTATATGAAGAAAACAACGACGGAACGCAAAGAAAAGTGACCACACGAAAAGATTATAATTTTAGATTATCTGCGTAAAAAAAAAAAAAAAAAAAAACTGAGAATCCAAATATACCATATTACCGGAAGATCTTGGAATTATTAAAAAAAAATCGTACGATAGACGACGAGTTTACGAGCCTCTTATAAAAAGTTATTCTAGTAAAAAGAGGCAAAAAAAGAAAAAGAAAAGGTTGGAAGTAAAAAACGAACAAAAGAAAAAATAAAAAAAAAAAAGAAATTTGGAACACGCGCCTATAAATTTCTTCGCATCGTTTGAGACATAGCAATAAATCAGCAGCTTGCAAAGTCATTATTGATATTAACATAAAACGACAAGGGAAATGGAAAGAAAGAATATTCATTTCTGATATAAACGAGCAGCTCCTAAAGGATTGCAAAACCTTCGATGTGGAATTATTTGTATAATTAAAAAGAATGTTCTCGGAGAAGTTACCTCCGACGACCCTCTACGTTGAAACCAGATGGCGGAAGTACCGCACGACGTCAGCAGCACTACTACCCCCACCACAACTACCACCTCACCACCAACCACCACTTATACTATACCACCACCCCACTACTACCCACCACTGTTCACACTTTGCAAATTCGAAATTTGAGAACTCGTATAATTTATATCTTCCCAATAATAGTTATAACTTTCAAAATCACAAATAAATCTTTACTCGGTGGTAAATAAAAAATCGATGCATATCTCAAAAGAATTGTTTAACATTGTAGTATAGCTCGAAATCTTTCCCGGGATCAAAATCGCCGGTAATTTGTCGGAGTAATATCCGCTAGAGGAATCGATAACGCGCGCGCTTAATTAATCCACTTCGCCTAAAGTAAGACGACACTTGGTAAAACGACACTCAAAACCTCGAGCTATAAAGGAAATTTATGGTTTATTAAAAAAAAAGAAAAGAAAAAATACATTAATTTAATTTTTTGTTTTTTTTCTTTTTTTTAAGATTAGAAACAAAATCACCTATGTAGATTTTTCTCGAAACGAAAGAGAAAGAGAGAGAGAGAGAGAGAGAGAGAGAGAGAGAGAGAGAGAGAGAGAGAAAAAAGATGATTAAAGCAACAAGAGAGAAACGATTAAACAGAAAAAGAGAAAAAGAGAAAAGTAAAACAAAAATATACAATATGACAATAACTACACAAGTTCGTATTTAAAATCACTGGTCGGTGGTCGGTCAATCGATAAGACGAGATAAGTATAACGTGCCGCTTGACAAGGGCTCGAAAAGGGGAAAGCGAAAGAGAGACGTCGGGGAAAGCGGAATGCAGCAAGGGAAACGAGGTCGGACTAAGGGAAAATGTATATTTGTATATTTGTACGAAAGGAACGTGGAAATGGACTGTCCACTTTTTTGCTTTTTTTTGGCAAAAATAAATGAGGAAAATAAAGAAAAATAATAATAAGAAGGTGAAGAAGAAAAGATAAGGAAAAGAGAAAGGGAAAGAGAGAGAGAAAGAAAGAAAAAAGAGACAGAAAAGGATCAATCGGGTTAAATCCCTTTTAATCTTGATACGATAGTGCCGCAAAGGGGTCACGATGATTACTGACCGCGAGCGTCGCGACGTTGTCCCCGTGTAATGACGCATGCGTGTTGTGAACCTTTTCTCTCTCTCTGTCTCCCACTCTCCCATTTTCTCATCCCCTCCCAACAACCCTGTGACGCTCGTAATCCGTCTCTCTTCTTTCTTGAACCATATATATGCATTTCTTTTCTTCTTTTTCTCTTTCCCCACTTTCTCTCTATCTCTCTCTCTTTTCAATACATTTGACTTTCTACCATCGCTTTTCCTACGCGAATTTCGTTTCTCCCTTACATTAGTCTCAGAAATGTACAACATAGAGGGTTGTCATATAATGTTGTAATTTGTTCCTACATATATATATACATGTATATAGGGTAATCTTTTGAAGTAACATCAATAAATTCCTAGTCGTGTTTTATAAATCAGTATTGATTGAAGAAAAATGTCATAATAAACGTGACTACGCGTGTGAAGCATTTTTAATCGTGTACAAGACTAAATACGGAAGTGTTCCTCTAAGTGTAAATTATATCTAAAATTGTCTATATCTAAAAAAAAAAAAAAGAAAAAAGGAATACTTCTTGGATGCATTGTAAGTCTCCATGTAAGAACGACGTTGTAAAATACAATGAACTCCTTCTGGCCTTCCCTTCACCACATTTCACCGTTTAACACGTTTACGTTAGCAAGGAAAATTGAACCTTCCTTAGCCGAAGGCCGAGATGAGATTATCGACTAAAGAGCGAGAGCACAATACAAGCAGGCGGGGAGAGTGTCGTGAAAAGAGAGATAGCGTGTTCTAGATTTAACGTTAGAGGTGCTTTACGCGTTTCCTTCCGCTCGACTATGACACTGTAACCTTCCTCGTTGAACGCCTCATCGAACGAACCGTAAAACGATGATGATCTTATAGGATGAAGATAGACCAACCGTAATTAACTTAGTTCTAAACGATTGAACATACAAAATAATGTCTTTCCTTCACAAGCTTCTTATTTATATTATTATACAAAAAGTTAGATAAATATTAAATCGATCCGCGCGTTTCTTTTTTGTTTCTTTCTTCTTACATTTATGTTGCCAATGAAAAAAACAACAAATCGGTCACAGTCGTCGTCGTCCTCGTCCTCGTCTTCGTCGTTAAAAATGGTCATCGTCTTTATCTTCGTCACTTTGAAACCTTTAAAACTCTTATTGGTGATCTCACGCAACACGCTTCGATGCGCAATTATAGCCCTGCTTACTTGCAGCAGCAGCAGTGCATAAACATCCTTTGGCTTCGTTGCTCTTTGAACCTACACCCTTGTAATTCGCGAGACGATCCCTGTTGTGTTGTGTCGAGGCGCTTTTAACGATTTTCGTCTACTTTCCCTAATATATGCGACTAAATATATATACTGCCTGCATCAGCGCTTACTGATAGTAAAGAATAACGAAATTTCGCATTGGCGGGGGAAAAAAAAGCGCAATCGAAAGGCGGTTGCACTAAGAAAAATAATAAAAACAACGCACTCTCTACTCTCGATTGTAAGATAAAATATATGTATATATATGCATTTTTCGATCTCCTGGAAAAAATAGAGAGAGAATAGGCTACAAATAATATTGACTAGTATAATATAATATATATATATATATAGAGAGAGAAATATGAATATGAATATATGCGTGTTACACGTTTTTTTTTTTTACTTTTCTTCATTCAAAAAGTTATCAACAAAATCTAATCTGATGTTCTAATTATTTAAATTAATCTACAGGTGCGGACGTGTCTTACGAGTTTATTATCGATGACAAATTCGATCGATCAGAAGACGCAGCTGTATACCACAGTGGAGCGTGTCTCGTGAGAAACCGCTCGGTGAAGACGTTCGTATACCTTCTAGCCAGAAATATCGGGTTTCGGTACTTATTTTCTGTGAAACAATTTTCAAGTGAAGTAGCGTTATTCATTTTCGAGATATGGTTTAAGTTTTATCATTATTTTTTTCTTTTCTGTGCAAATAGTACATAACGAATTTCCCTCCTCGACAATACCGACTCGTTTTTATAATTTTCAATGTGATAACGTCGAATGAAATATATTATAATATAATTTTCTATGACCAGAGATCAATGATATCGACGCTTTTGTCCGTAACTATGATTGTCTATAATGGAAATATTTTTGGTTTTTTTGTTTCTTTTTTCCTTTTACATTCCGGAGACACATGCTCGACTTATTAAAAAGAAAAAAAAGAAAAATAAATACAATAGGTATGGTATAAAAGATGCTATTAGTACACAGGAGGAAGAACGTTAGACATACTTTTTAATTAACTTGTTATGTAAATTACTACTCACAACAAAATACATTGATAATACTGTACTACTTTGTGAAAATCAAGTATGCACTTATGAAGGATTTTATCTCTTGTGTCGGAATAAAATGTCTTATGTGCATTTGTAATTGTTGTGTAGGGTTAAGCACTCTGTGCTTATCGGTATTACATTGTTTTTCATTTATAAGCGGTCATACATGCTTCATTAATAGTGTCATATTTTTACGTAGTAACATTGACTTGCTTAGTTTTTCATTTAAAAGGGGTATACTTAAAACTTACCTTTAGTAGAGTGAGAATTTTTTGTGATAGATCGTAGTCAAAATTTTGGTACTTGCTATCAGACATGTCATAAATAAAAACCAAACCATGTTTCTGGGTTTCTGCGCTTTCAAGAGCTGCATCTAATTGATACACAACACCCTGAAAAAGTAAATATTGCAAAAAATATTATTGAAAGTAATTTAAGATTATTATCTATGTGTTTTCAATATCCTAGCAAGTATTTATTTAAATTATTTATTAACCTGTAGAGTAGTTTGATGCGTAGTGTTTTGTGGAAGATGTAAATGTGCCGTAAAGATTGCTATAGCAGCACCAGTTGCATCCCTTGAAGACTACAATACAATAAATAATATATAATTTGTATTCTTCATAATATATAATTACTATATTATTATAAATGAATTATAATCAATCCCACACCAGAACAGTAAATTTTCCTGTACGTAACTCGCTGAGTAATGGTTCTTGTGTTGGGTGTAAAACAGCCAAACCTTCTCTTCTTCTGGTAGCTTCGTGCTGTTCATAAAGTGCTAAAGCTCTGCTTACTTCGAATTTCCTGGCTGCTAAAAATTTGACTGCTGTACTCCAGGAAACTGGTCCAGCACGTCTTCCGGCTCGACACTTATTCACAGCCTCTATAAACTCTTTTGTGGCCTGCAAAAATAACAAAAATGAATAAAATGTTTCTTAATAAGAATATTTTTAATAATTACACACGTGTATACGAGTACCGAGAAAAACATTATGACGCAATTTATAAGGCCAGCAAAAAGATAGTCACGATCGAAAGACAATACGTGAGGTTAAATATTTTCAAACGTCCCATGGTCATTTCATCATAATTTGTGCACATGCCCTGTATACCGATATAGCTTCCGGTGTCCGGCTACGTCCCCACCAAGCACCACTTCCGGCATCCCATTCGCTAAGAACCGGTTAAAGGCATCGGAGTCGATGTCAGGGTCAAGAAATTCAATACCTTAACTCGATATTCTTATAAATTTTCGTTAGGCGCCAAAAAATAATCGATTTGACTTTCGACCAATAGGAAAGGAACTTCGATTCAAAATTCGAAACAAGTTTACTTTTGATATCAAATCACTGAAAGTTCATTTTGAACAATAAGCAAACGAATGTGAACGAACAAACAAAGATTGTTATTCTATGAAGTGTCATCGACTTCTTTATTAACGACGTTGTTATTGTGACTATGTATAACATTTAGTAAATATTTCAATTAAATATCAAATAAAAGAGAAATGTTTTTACCGACGAGTAATAGTGTGTTAATTACTCATGAGGAAAAATTTAGAAAAACGCGTGGAATGTTTAAACACCGCTCGTTGTTAATAGGTAACATGAATCATAATAAAAAGAGAAAGCGTGAAAGAGAGTAAGTGCGCGCAGAGTGTAAAAGCTTTCATTGGCGCGAAGTACGTCTGAAGAGCAGTTTTGCACGTCCGCTATATAGCTTCCGCCAAATATGTTCAACATTTAATATCACTCCAATGAAATATCTTATCAAAAATCGTATTATTATTATTCAAATTTTAAATACAATAGCAATAATGTATATGCATATACGTTTAAAAGGAAATAAAATAGAGATTTTTCTGCGATCTCTCATACCTTTAGATCGTTTATATCGTAAGCGAAATAATAGATTAATATAATCGATAACGCATAACGATTTCTTTAGGAAAATATTCAATAGTTGATTTTAATCATTTCCACGCGTTCATTGACATTACAACGATGCGATTAAACTACTGACAATCACTTACTTGTTCTTGCTCGACGGTTAACGTCGCCGCCATCTTGACTTAAACACGCACGCACGCACACACAGACAGAAAGAAAGAAGAGCAGACAGGCAGCAACGCACGCACGCACACACGGACGCACCCACCGACGCGCAGAGGAGACGGGAAAGCGACACACACGACGCGACGACGCGCTCAACACAACACCAAGAGAGAGATTATTTTCCTTCTTTCTTTTTGCCTCTTCCTCTCTTTCTCACTCACTCGATCTATCTCTCTCACTCCTTATCTCACGATTTAACGAACGCGCGTCTACGAGCGTACATATTTCGATCCCTACGCCGATCTTGCTTGCCAGTTCTCGCCTTGTTCCATTGTCGTAAATCGACAAAATCACCCGTAGAATTTTGTCGCTCGTCTTTATTTTTTCCCGTCCATGTTAATATGGCGATAATGAAAAACTCGCTCAACCGCTCGGTCTTCCTTCTCTTCTCAGGGTCAGCGCCATTTTGAACACGAGTGTATTATGTGTGTGCCTGTCTGTGTAAAGGGGTATTTACAGCTACATTTAATCTATATAATCCTTTTCCAAGCATTTTTATTTTTATTTTTTCTTATAATCTTCTTATAATTTCTGAGTAATTTGTTTTAGAAATAAATCTTAAAGTTTAATAATTGTTTTTCTTATCTAATTTCGAGAATTCAACAATAATCACGTTCTATGAAATATCTTAATACGGTACTGAGATGGGCGCTAAGGTATCCAATCAAAATACGAGATGCTATTAGTGCTCTTTAAATAAATCTTCCGCTAAATATTTATTACGTATAATCGTTGTTGTAAATGATTGAAACTTCCATTGTTTAATTGTTATCTAATTGTTAAATTAAAATTGGTTTTTTAAATATGGCAGAAATTCTTCGACGAGAAGTATATACGTCATTCGATTGTTTACATGATTTATTTCATTTATATCTTTGAGGTTAAGTTTATTTGGTTTTTAATATTTAAATCCTCTTCCTTTTTTTTTAGATACTGCATCAATTTAAGACATTACACAGAACGAGATTAAATACGTTTAAAGGAGATGAAAATGCATTGAAAGGTAATTTTATTCTTTTTATAAGAAATATGTATATAACATTTTGATAAATAAAATTTTTTTACTCTTAGAAACATTTTTTTTCGTTTTTTTTAAACAATACAATATTCTGTCATTTGAAGAAATTTAATTGATACGTTAGTGCATATCGTTTAGTGATCAGGGCTAAAATAAATGAAGAGTACCGAAAATATAAGGATGTTACGAATCAAGGTGCTATAAAAGAGGTAATATATATTAACATGTAAACAGCATACATTTTTCTTTTACTTGGCTATGATGAACAATTTTATTGCAGTTAAATAAATTTGCACAAGAAGTTGAGCATGAACTACGATTAAGCGTAATCCAAGCAATCGAGAAGGAACCTGGAGTATATAGTAAGATATGAACAGTACTATAAGCAAAGTTCTTTAAAATTATTAATTATATTAACACTACCATTAACGATAAAAATAAATTTGTGTATTAATAATTTCAGAACTTCGAATTACACCTAACGTATTATTAGACAATGCAACGTGTGGAGATATATCTAGTTCAAATAATAGTCAAAGTAAATTAGTTAACAAAAAATCAGTATGTAGAGAGAATATTGAGAAATCATAATTTTTGACAAGCTCAATAACAAGATAATTTGCTAAATTATAGATACATATGCGATTGTATTAGAGTTATATCTTTGTATATAGTAAAGCAAGCTGTTTCAGCTTCATTCTAATAAAAATATTTTTTATTTTTACTTTATTCATTTACTAAAATACTTTAAAATAATTTCAATTATTTAATTTGAAATGTTTAAATAAAAAAATTATGCGGTGCATATATACTGCGTTGGTTATAAACTGGGAAAAAGATAAATTTTATCTTCTCTTTCATAATCATTATTGTCGACAGTAACGAGTAAATTTTTATTTACAATACGTTAATTACAATATGTTTTATCAGATGTTCCCGTAATTTAACGATCTTCATCTAATCACACAGCCTTTATCGAACTTTTAAATGTATTCTACATTTATTCACATAAATTTGAATTCTTGATCCAAGAATTTCCATGAGCGTACTTCACTTATGATTTTTACTAAACAGCACCCTCAACTCTCATCCTAAAATCATTAAACGATATTAGATTCGATGAAAATAATTTAAATAGATTTTATAATGTAATAAATAGGTGTACATTCATGAAAGAAACACAAGAATCGTTTAATAATACAAAGAAAATATGTTAGATGTTATTATTAAATTAAAACATTAAAATCAATTTCACATAACTTACCTGTTTAAAAAGAACTTTTATGAATTACAAGTTGAGTTGATTCAATGTAATAACTATAATCTCATGCAACATGTTTTAAAAAAATGTAGGCAAATTTTCTATGCTTTGGTACTTCAAAGAAAATATTATACAAATTATTATAATTTTCTTTGAGTGAACCTACAGAAAAATCATCTTTCTTGAGTTTATACAAGTCTAATCATTTCTTTTTTCTTTCTATATGAGAGACTAATTTACCAAATCGACTAACTTCACAAAACCAAAAGTAGAGAAAATCGATAAAATAATACATATTATTATTAAGCAACCATAAGCATTGTTCTCATTTAGTGGTGTTAAGTCTTATTATTAAGGAAATTTCTTTTAAATATAAAAAGTTAAATATTTATCAAGTGGTTGGATAATAACATTGTAAAAAAATCGAAAGATCGAATTAATCGCTTTGGCCTGCGAACGGCTCAATCATAACTATCTCGGATGTACTAACACATGTTCAGGATGATTACGAATTTGATCGATTAAATCAGCCGGTCTGATTTCTTCGTGGCATATACGTTGTACGGCAGTGAATAATGGGAATTTGTCTAGCATATTTTTAGCTTTTAACATTGCATTGACCTCATCAGCTGTAGCTGGACCTTGCAATTTTTGTCCAGAAAGAAGTTCTTCCTCCAAGTCTCTGATAGTCTGTTATTCATACAAAATAAATGTATAAGAATCTTTTTTTTTTCTTTTTTAACGTTATTTCTATTTTGTACCTTTCCGGTTTTAACAAACTGTTCACATATACGACGATTTCTTCCACCATAACAAGTTGTAACCAAATCAGCTACACCGCAGCTTTCGAAAAATGTTGACAGTTTCGCACCACCGAAGAAAGTATCAACAAATTTTATCATTTCCATAAGGCCCAATCTGATAACGGCAGCTTTCGTATTATCTCCTAATCCTAAGCCATCGACGAAGCCAGCAGCACATGCCACTATGTTCTAAAGTGATGATAATTGTGACGACAAAAAATTAAAAATAGAATTGTCATAAAAGAAAGAAAGAATAAAATCTTTCTCACCTTCAGAGCTCCGCATACTTCAACAGCTTCCGTATCCTCGACGACTACTACACGAAAATTAGGTGTTTGTATGAGATCCCTCAATATTGGTGCCAAACGTTTATCCCTGCAGCCTAAATATAATGTTTATATAGATTTTATATAAGAAGTAAAAATATAGTACAGTTTATATACATATAAGAATTTATATATATACGAAATATATACAAATTTTAATTATATATGTTACGGTCAATGTTAACAATCCAGGCATTGTATAGAATGAATTTTAAAGGACATTTTGTGAACAAATTTTTAAATATTCGTAGTTTATTTCCCTTACACGAGCTTAAAAACATTTTCCTCCTCCCGTGCTTTAAACATAACCAATTGAAGCATATACCAAAATTTTCTGGATATTTTTGAGATTGACCGGTATGAAAAACATGTTCATAATATACATTGTCCAATCTTAGTGGACATTCTATAGAATCCTGTATATTGACCATAATATATACATAAAATACCCGATATGATCCTGTTTCCGAATTATGACTGTTTTTGTTTTCCAGTAAGTAATTCATATAATTTTACTGACTGTTTGTTTCAACTATTTATGAGTAAGCTTCTTATCTCATGTACGACCTTCTTGTCTGCTATTTTTAATCAATTTAGTGCAATCCGTTGAAGATAACAGTACACGTGGAAATTTGCTTATACATTTTTGTGATAATTTACATTGATAATGTGTACTACAAAAACAACTGTAATTTGGAAAAAGGTTATATCGGGTGTATGATAATATGAACTTTTTTCTTTTACTTTAGCGTACTGAAATCGCCCATGAAGTTATGCCCACATATTTTGAAACACTCTATATATTTGGAGACAAAATTAATAGTAGCCGCATAAAAGGTGAATTTTTTTAAATGGAAATATTTAAATATTTCAAAGATAACACATATCGAAAAGAAGAAAATTAGAAATACGAATCTTTTGATTTTAGGTGATTAATATTACAGCATCATTTATTTCTAACTTAAAATAAGATGATGTTCAATTAATGTTATACTTGTTCCTCAAAAATAAACAATTTTTATTCCAAATTTTCTATTCACAATTGCGTTATTTTCGAAATATTTAGATGATAAAAAATTTACCTAATTTATTATATATAATATGAAATATATATATATATATATATATATTAAAACGAATTCATTCAAATTAATCTTGTCATTAATTAACAATATAAAAAAATAATTAATTACCAATGGTAGTTTCGCAGAATTTTTCCTCGGCAACTTCGTTTGCCAAATTAGCTCCCATCAATACGTGACATTGGATCCTCAGATTCTTTTCGATGATTTTCGAAATTAGCTCGACATTCGTACCGTCTCCTTGATCAAAACCCTTGAAGGGAAATTTATGTAGACATTCATGTGATGTTATCTAATATCTCATGATGTATCTTCTCTTATGATCTACCTTAATAAGCGACAAACCCACAGCGGTTGGTTTGATTTGTCCAAGTAACGTAACGCAAAGTGTCCGAATAAATTGATGTGGTAAAACGAAGACCAGTATGTCAGCATCTTTTGTAGCTTCAATGACGTCCGGAACTGCTACCTAAAAAAGAAGAAAAATAATTCAAGAGTAGGGGAGACTGAGGGATGTAATTAACATACCCTTGAGGAACGGCGGAGTGGAGGCGGGTTGAATGTAATAAATTAAATATATCCAAATGTATATAATAAATATTAATACAAATTTGGAATATTTCAAGAGAAAAATGATATTTGGAAAATATACATTAATACGATGCAACATTGTCGATATTCTGATATGATGCTAAATAAATAAATAATATTTGCGTAAACAAATGTTTGTGGAAAACGTAATAGTTCTCGTATAATCGTTTTCCAAAGTTTAACAATAAGTGTTACTGCTATCTCTCGTTCTTCCTTATTTGTTTCATTTTATTTTGATTACTTTTTATCAATTAGATTTGATATTAATTGGATTAGAGCTAAATTTGATATCTGTCTATATTTGTATTTCTTTATAATCAATGATTCTAATCATTTTTAAATTATTACTTACAATCAATCTTACTTTTTCACTTTTTTTCCCCTCATCACTTATCACTTGTGTTAAATATTTAACGCAACATTAATATATACGTGGATGACATTAATGCAACAACATCTTGACATTGATCTATAAATTTATCCAAGGTTGCAATATGCAAACAGCGTATGTATTGTATTATGTGTAGATGTACAGCTCGTCCAAGCATTCTATTAAACTAAATAAAATTATTTAATCAGCGCGATACTGCTTGCAAGCTCTTTTCTGTTACTTTATGGTGTGTATATGTTTATCGTGAAAGATCGAAATTGAAAAATGTCAAGATTCATATGGTGAAATGTCAACACATATCAAATACGTCGGTGAAAGACCGAATATTAGAATTTATCGTTATACATTTGAATATTTCGTACATATACCAAGCGATTATGTGAATCTTGACATTGTCTAATTTTAGTATTTCACGGTAACAAATATATTACATCATTCGTAAATGTATGTAATTATAGTTTTAATATAATTTTATATCAAACATATATAATTTTTAATGAATTAGAAAGATACAAAATATTATATATATATATATTATTACCGCAACCGCATCATATCTTATCCGTAAAATAATTCTTACGTTTTCATTTCGATCGGTATATCGATCACCTAAGGATTTAATCCACCTAGTTTTTCACGTAGAAAGTATTGCATCATATCCGATATGGCTGATGACGATAAGAGAATTTAAATAGTGGTTTGGTTCTCTCATCGCATCAGTCTGCATTCGAGAGTCTTTCAGAGTACACACTTATCTTCGGTGATAAAATACAAAACTTTATTTCTTCGACATGAGGTTAAACTCCGTTATTCCAAATTTCAAAGCCGAGACCACTCAAGGTCCAATTGATTTTTATGAATGGCAAGGCAATTCGTGAGTAAATTTCTATACCTATAATACGTTTTTTTTTTTTTTTTAATTTCAAAATGATAAATTAAATTATTCTATAGCTACGATCTATAGATATTTATATAATTTTATTTTTATTTGTATGTATTTATTTTGAATTATAAATATATATATATATTTTGTTTTATCAATATCGATCATAAAAATATTAATATTGTTTTAATAATTAGAATTAAATATTAAGAAATTAATGTGCTAGATGTAAAATATTAATATCTAGAACTAAACAAAAAATTGTTCTACTTTATAAATCAAATTGTTATACATTTATTTTATATATATATATATATAAATATATCATGAAAATTCCAAAGAAAGTTACGTGTACGTAATATATAGTTAAAGTATCAATAGAAAAATAAAAAGATAATTAATACAAATTCCAATCATTTTTAGATCATTTTATAATCGTTTAATATTGTCGATCCAAAAAGTATATAAAACTATATATAAGAAAATTGAATCGATTATTGTAAAAAAATAAGAAAAAGAAGAAAAGAATGAAAGTTATATAATCGTATATGAGTTTGTTTTTTATCTTAACTTTTTGAAAATGAAAAAGAAAAAATATCGTATGAAAATTGATAACATAAGTATTAATGATGGACCTTCAAACATATGTCATTTTATTTGATATCATATGGTCTGTATTAAGAGTGATATAGAATTTTATCTATTTGTGGATAAGTATTAATAAAAATAAAATGATTAGCGTTAAAACAAGCTATTCTTAGATCAAGTAGGGTTATCTTAAAACGCGGTATCAAGACATAATCGCATTGGGTATTACTGTTGCTTAGTAACAAATAAAAAAGTTAACTCATTTGTTCTCCTCGTCAATTTTCTTCATTCATAATGAAAAAAAAAAAGAATGATTCATAAAGTTAAATAATATTTTCACAATAAAAAGATATAGATGATCGAACAAGCGAACATTGGCCGTGATCTTAAATAGAAAACTGTTACAAAATCGATGACTAAACTACCCTTGGCACTGATTTTAACGTGCCAAATTAGATCTTTATCGAATTGTAATACTTTTCCATTATATTCAATTATTAATTTATAATTCCTTATTCCTATATATATATTCTCGAAAATATTGAGTATCACAGACTGAGACAATTTTCATAATAACTGACACTATTATTATATTGTATATTATAGATATAAATATTATCTTGTAAATAATACCTAGTAAATAACTATTAATAATGTTGTACTATACTTTAAAAAATATACTTGTTTACCCAGTTATAAATATTATACTCTTTATTAGTATAATAAATATATTATCTAATACGTTATATTATATTTAATTATATTATATAATATTATAAGTAGCAATAAAAATTCTAATAATTAGAAATATATAATCTAGTAGAGAGAGTATAGAGTTATTATTAATAAAATATATAAAATATTTAAATATCTTCTAGATGGGTAGTACTCTTTTCTCATCCTGCCGATTTTACACCAGTTTGTACAACCGAATTGGGTCGTATTGCTGTTCATCAACCACATTTTGAACGTCGTAATGCTAAACTTTTGGCTCATTCTGTAGACAAGCTTAAAGATCATGTTGACTGGGTGAACGTAAGTGCATTATATTCAATGAAATCAAATTCATTTTTTATCTTGAATTTTTCAAAAACATTTTTATTAATTTTTTCATTTTTTTTTTTTGTTTTTATTTTGTTAAACTAGGATATCAAATCTTATTGTCGCGATATTCCCGGAGCATTCCCGTATCCGATAATCGCCGATGCAGATAGAACTTTAGCAGTACAACTCGATATGATAGACGAGGACAGCAAAGATGATCCAGAAACTGCTCAAACTGTTCGTGCACTTTATATAATAAGTCCTGATCACCGATTACGTTTGTCAATGCATTATCCAACTTCTACCGGACGTAACGTCGAGTAAGTTTACAATTGAATTAATTATTATAAAAAATTGTTATAACAATAATTATTATATTTATCGTTTTATGATATTTTGACAATATTTTACCTTTCACTCTTTGGAAAGAAGATTTACGATTTTAATGAAATAATTGGTATCACAATTCAAATTTAAATCTAAACCATACAATCAGTAAGACTCAATACTTAATCATTTCGAAAAAATTCGTTTTATATTGAATGGAGAAATAAATTGTTTACATTTTAATTCAATAAAAGTTCTAGAAAAAATATACATGGGGTGGGGTGAAAAGTTTGGAAGTCTAACACTACACTGTTGTAAAATTCAAACAAAATCGGTGCCCCCCCCCTCTGTAACTCTCCCCTTGTGAGAACAATTTTCATAATCACTTACTTGATTATAAAGTAATTAAAAAAATCTTTTTCTTAATTCTACTCCCTAATTTAATATTTTTTTATCCAGTGAAATATTACGCGTGATTGACTCTCTACAATTGGTCGATAAAAAACCAGAAGTTGCAACGCCAGCCAATTGGACCGTGAGTTTAAATTTCCTTTTTCTTATTTATTTATTTATTTATTTATTATGATGTTAGGGGTGAGGAACCAATTAAGGAAACTTTTGTTAATAAACAATTTCATTTTAGCCCGGTGAAAAAGTCATGATCCTTCCTACCGTAAAAGATGAAGATTTACCTAAACTTTTCCCGAAAGGAGTCGACAAGGTTTCCATGCCGTCAGGCAAAGTTTACGTTCGTACAACTACAGATTATTAAATATTAAAATGATAATATAAATAATGATAATATATACGTGCCATCCTTTCGTTCACAAATTTAAAATTAAGTGAATGTAGAAGATGATTCTCGCTTATTATTTACTTCCGTCGTTTTATGGAAATAATATTATCTTGTGTTAAAGTATATATAAATAAATTTTAATTATAAATTTATCATTATATATTTTATATATAAAATAAATAATTTTGTTTTCTTCGTAATTTACTTTACTACATATATTTTGCGAAACAAGTTTATTATATTTTCTTTTTAAAATACTTACCACATTCTCTGGAAGCTTATGTCCTGGCAAATACTTTATGTTTTCGTGTAACTCGTTAATTATATTTGTCAACTTCTGATTATTTATTATTTCTTCATAAACGTACATGGGTACACGTTGGACAAACTTATTATTAAACTTGACGACATTTGCACCGATGATCTTTGCTATTGCTGAGCCCCTGAAAAATAATAAATTATGTTAGTAAAATTTTTCTCTCACATTTTATTTATTTTTTTTTTTTTTTTACTATTTATTCGCAGTCCTTTATTATTATTATTATTATTAATATTTGATTTTGATATGAGATACTATGCAATGTGTATCGTTTACATTATCGTATAGGTAAATTCAATAACACAGTGATACAGGTTAGTATTACCATATGCAAACAAAAAAAATTATGCGCTGAATTTAAATCGAGAATGGATAGATGTCGATAATAATCCTATCACGAATTTATAAATGCATCGATTATAATATAATTATTTCCGTCGTTTGAATAATCTATGCATTCTATAAAAACATTGTGTATAATAGAATACTAATTTTATTTAAATACACAGTATTTGCATCACGAATAGATAATGAAAAATGCGTCGAGTACAATGTAGAAATTAACGAGACACGTTGAAGAGTAACAAACAAACAAAAATAAGTTGATATAATAGAACTGTGAAATACTAACATAAGAAACAGACAGAGTAAAAAATTCAAATACAAAATGCAATGAATCGATAATTAAAAAATTCTTAAAGAAAATGAGATATTGAGTCGACAATAAAATAATAATGGATGGAGGTAAATACCTGGAATTAAGGAAATAATATTAGTAACGATAATTAATTCATTGGTTGAAAACAAAATGACTATTACCAAAGAAGGAAAGTTTACTCTTGCAAAAGTGGAAAATAAAAATATAGGATAACGCAACAACAAAAAAAAAAAAAAAAAGAAAAAGAAATAAAGAAATATATGGCAACGAAAACGAAAGATTAAGGAAAAACAATTTTAAAGGCCAAATTTCACAAGGCCTGTAATTCTACTCGGTAAACAAATTTTATCTTTTTCTCTCTTATTATTTTATACAAAAGGAGATCACGACAGGTAAGTACGTATTATTAATGGAAATTCTGTTCCACTTTCGAATACTTTGAGGAACGACAATTCAGTGCCAAGAGATGTACGCAATGTCCGTCTTGACGTTAGTATATATACGTAAGTATATAAATACTTATATATGTATATGTGTAGTATGTCCATCAAAAAACAAGTGGTACGTGATATGTCCGTGCGTTGAAACGATACGTCGTATCATTCAATGTGTCCTTCGGCAGTTAAACTTTATCTAGATCAGTGATTCTCAATCATTTATACTTCCCATAGAGTATGGGAATTTGTATAGGAGATGTCTCAATAGTACATAATCATAAACCTTTTTTTTTACCAATCATTTTGAATGACGGCCCATAATTTTGTTTAACCAGTTAATTGTAATTGACGAGTATACTCGTCATGAAGAAATGATAATATTTTATATTATTTCTTTATTTTTGAGACCTAATTTATTTATATACTTTTCAAAAAATTCACCATATCTAGCTGGTTAAATATCAAAAATATTTATTCACGCATGACGAATAAGTTCATATCGGGCATATGATTATATTACATTTTTTTTCTTATTTTAGCGTATTAAAACCAAACGCGCCTTCCACTCCCCAACTCCGAAATTATGCTCAAATGTTTGGAAACATTTGTTATACACGGTAAATTGTATATTTAATTTATTTACGTTCTTACAAGGTAGTTTCAAAATTGAGAACCTTTAATCTAGATAAACTATATTTTCTCACGTTGAAACATTATTACAATATTATTTCTAAATAATGATAAAACAATGTAATCAAACAAATTAGATTAGTATAATTTCATTTTTGTGTTATAACTAAGAAAGAAAATATTACAGGGAATAAGAAAAAGGATAAAAAGATTTGAAAGGAAAGAAAGTTAGGGTCATCACAGTCGTTGCCATAATAGCCAATTGGCTTTAACATACCAATTGCCACTTCCTACGACGCACACACTCAATTTCTCCGACATGGTCTCTAACAAATGATTAAATAACTTTTTTTTATTTTTCTTTTTTTTTTTTTTTCAAAAATTTGTTTTCTTTTCTTGCTCTCTCTCGTAAATTGCAAAGAAAAAAACGAAAAAATTAATATATCAATAAGCCCCGTTACTTTTGTCCTTTGTCATAATCGAGATGGGGGAACAAAAATGTAGAAAAAAAAAATTAGCAACCGATAACACGAAGATGGATGGCTAACCAACTGACTGATCGATCGGTTGACTAATTGATTGACCGATTGACTTCGTGCGAACTCGTCTCGATCTTTTGTTGACCTTAACGACGATGGCCAATTATTTTCTTTCTAATTCTAACGCGCATGCTTAGAATCATAGCCAAGTACGATCGAAATCGAATAACTCAATGTAGGGAGTAATAAAATTAGATCTACCTGCCTTGATAATAGATCTCGATGACATGTAAAGATTTGAAGGATAGTCCCTACCGATATCTTTGACTTCATCGATTACTATACGATCTCCTCGAGCTATCATCGATTACACAATTTTATTTTATTTTGTTTATCAATATTCAAGGCTATTATATAAATAACGTAATTAATCATTTTTCTTTATTAATAAACACACATATGTTCATATATTTATTTTTTTTTGTATTTTTTATCTTTAAAATTCTTATTTCATATTTTAATAATTTTTTCTTACATTCGTAAAAAAAAGTTGGATTATAAAATATTTATTTTTAGTAAGAGTGATTTTTTTTTTAAGCGTCCACTAATAATCATAATTTCAATTTCCTCTTTCTTTTTTTGTAATTGTTTTTTCTTATATATATATTTTGTCTTTTATACCATATCATCTCTAATAATCATAAATTACAATAGGTTTATGAATTATTATAGAATTAGGATGAAAACATCGGCCCGTATTTATTATTATTATTATTTCTTATAAAAATTCTTACACATATATATATCTATATAATACTTTTACAAAATTTTATTATATATATAGAAAAAGAGCAATATAAAAAAAAGTACAAAACTAAAAAAAAACATTGATTATAAATTACAACGATGTCGATCATTGAAAATAAAATTTAAAATCGTCAAACGTAACGCGTTCTTCCTTTTTTATTTTTCATTTACTTAAGTGTACTTCAATTTTATTTTATATTTTTATTAGAAAGTAAAAAATTAAAAAAAATCTTCCAATTCCTTATTTCCAGTACGTTCGTTAGAGATGACTCCTTGGCGACTTTAATTGTCCCATCTTAGCGTAGACACCACAATCATCATCGTCATTACCGTTCCTATATATCAATAGTGAATATAAATAAATGAGAAATTTCTACTGCTATCGGTAAAAAATGATCACGAAAAATGCTGTAAGAAATACCATTAATTGTAAGTCCTTTTTATTTATCGTGTGTATAAATATATTAATACGAGTCAGAATTTTGACACACATCTAATAAAATCAATTTATTATTCTGTTTTATTACTGTTACTTTGTTCGAGTTAAAAACATTTTTAAATAAATAAATAAAAAAAATAACACTTACTTAATAGCAATCAAAATGATTTGAAAGAATTATTATTTATTATATTATTAGAGAGAGAGAGAGATGCGCGCCCCCTTATTATATAAAAACTCCTCTTACAATTAATCATTTTCTTTTTTTTTCTTATATTCAATATTCAACTTAATTGAGACACACTGTATATATATTAACAGATATACTAACAGTGGATGATATATATGCTAACTAACATCCAGGTCTATTAGGACATATTAAACGAGAATAATATGAGATTTATATTTTATTGGTGAACGATCTTTTCTCTATATGAACAAAGTTAGCAAAATATAGGAAGAAAAAAAACTCAACACAGTTTCAAACTACACAATGTGTTATTTTTTTTGCTGTTTTGTTATTTTTTTTTTAATGTATTAACAATTAACATTCGTATATGTTCTCTTTTTAGGTACAATTATACTGTTATAACTTTCTTTTTTATAATAACATGGTAATATCTATACAATAAAATTTTTTCTTGACATTATGATATGGTAACGAGCCAGAAAACTGACACGAGTTATTGTACATATCCTTTTTGTCTTCGTCCAATTTAGTATTATGCATGTATAACACAGTTGAAATAAATATCTCAATAAAATATATATATATAGTAATTATATATAACTCTGCTCATACTTTTTTGTATACTTTTAACTATTTTGTAACATTGTATCCTGTGAAATCTTTACAATATACAAAGAAGAAATGAGAGATAAATTTATTTTTCAATGACGTAATAATTTTTTAATGGGATCGATAAACAAATTATATTCATCTATTGTAATTAAATAAGGATTGTACAAGTTTGGATATTTTAATTTGATTATTAAATGGTAAATAATTATTTAAAAAACAAAGTATATATATAATCTTGTTGTGTCTATACATAAAATGTGCGTTTAATATTTCAATAATTTAAGGATTTTATCGTAGATTAGTAAAAGAGCCGATAAAAGATCCAAAATTATTTGAATAACAATTGAAAATATTTGATAAATTTCTAATAAGAATGTATGAAACTTAACAACACAAAATGAATTTAACAAATTTTCTTTGATAAGTAATTAATTTCTAACAATCATATTATTATAACAAAACGATCAAACATGTATAGATTTTTAATTTCATGTTTTTGTTACTAAAGGTTCATTAAAATAAGAAACCATTATTTTGAGAAGTTCTGTCATTTACGAAACAAAGAAAAAATAATGAAAGGTCTGCTTTCTTTATTTGGTAAGTTAAACGTGTGCTTATAATTATATGCATATATATATATATATACATGTATGTACATATTTGTGCAAATTAATTTATACATACTATATATATATATTTATTATTTGTATATTTAACGAGAATAACTTGGCCAAAATGTTCTTATTATCAATAGATCTTCTCTCATTTACATTCCACCAGTAAGTTAAGTGTAATGAAGTCAGACAATAGATTACAGAAAACTAAAATAATTATAACGTTAGAGACGGATTAAGTGTACATAGTATTTAATTTAATGAAATGTTGTTTTTAACGATTTTACTATATGTATAAATAAATATATGCTAGTAATTTCAGAAAAGCACAAATATTAAGATAATTATTAACTATTGCGTTTCTATATTGTTTAAATGTTATTATTACTTTTGATAGAAATAAAAATCAACATATTAAATAAAATTAATGCAAGAATTAACGTTGCATGCCCAAGTCTAAACTTATTGAACGACTATCATTGTATTTCAATCTAATCCACCTCTAACTTTAATTGTGACTATTAAACGCTTACATGTGTTCCGGATGATTGCGTATACAATCGATCAGATCAGCAGCTTTTAACTGCCCGATGCAAATACGATGGACTGCCGTGAAGAGAGGAAATTTATTTTCCATATTTTTAGATTTTAACATATAATTTACTTCTTCTGCTGTAAATGGTCCTTGCAATTTTTGTCCATTAAGCATTTCCTTCTCTAATTCCTCAATAGTCTGAAATAAATATATAGAATTTGTTTTTTGACAATTTATTGAATTCTGTAAATCTAATATAAGTCTAATGATAATTATAATGTCACTAACCTTTCCAGTTTTTACAAAAGCTTCTGATACTTTACGATTTCTTCCACCGTAACATGTTGTAATAAGATCAGCTACGCCACAGCTTTCAAGGAATGTCGACAATTTTCCACCAGGATAAAAGACATCCACAAATTTAATCATTTCCTTTAATCCCAAGCGAATAACAGCGGCTTTTGTATTATCACCTAAACCTAATCCATCGACAAAACCAGCACCGCAAGCCACAATATTCTATAAATATATCGAAATGATAATAATAAGTAATATAAACAATAACTTGTTAAGAATATAATGTATATATTTAAAATATGAAACGAAACATATTTTATAAATTACCTTCAATGCTCCACAGCATTCGACTGAATCAACATCTTCTACTACATTAACTCTAAAATACGACACTTGAATCAAATCTCGAAGAATTGGAGCCATTTCTTTGTCCTTGCATCCTATAAATTCATAATATAAATATTTTTAATTTTACTCTCTAGTTAGTATTAAGTATTAATTTGAAATACAAGTAGTAATTTGTAATTATGCGTATAGTTACATACTTTACTTTAGATGTAACTCACATCGTTATTTACCTATGGTGGTTTCGCAAAACATTTCTTCTGCTACCTCAGACGCTAAGTTTGCTCCCATTAATACGGACACAGGAATGTGTAATTCGTTAGAAATAATATGTGAGATCAATTCTATCCCACCACCTTCTTTTTTGTCAAAACCCTGTACAAAATAATTTAGAATATAATTTAGTCGAATACACATATATGTTATTACAACATATATTTATCATAACATACTTTTACAAGGGAGAGACCAATGGCTGTAGGTTTAATATTTCCAAGAAGTGTGCTACATATTCTTGGAATAAATTGATGTGGCACCACAAAAATAAGAATATCAGCATCCTTTGCCGCCTCCACAACATCAGGAACTGCAACCTAACATTTGATGTATATGAAATATATGTATAAATTATTATCCTACAATATCCTATATAATAAAAGTATTAATATCCTTTTTAAACTATAAACTTTAAATTTATTATCAATGGTTTGGAGAAAATATAATCTTGATTGTAATCTTGATGATATCATTTATAGTTGTAATATAATAATAAAGAACAATATTAAAAAAAAAAAAAAAAAGAAAGAAAATAAAACAACTTAATCGTTTATCATCATAAAATTATAAACATAATCCGAATAATACATATAAATAGAAAATGATCTACTGTCGATAATATACGTCATTTTTTAAAGATAGTCATCATTTTTTTTAGTTTTATCGGTAAAGTAGTTTTTCATATTTCAACTGTAAATAAAACATGTTTTATGGAATTTTAAAAATGATTTATTATAAAATTTCAATTCAAATTTTATAATTTAAACCTAATAATATTATTAATACTTTGTTTATATTTTTACGAATGTATTACCGTTATCAAAGAAATAAATTAGTCTTCTTGGAATTTGTGTGATTTGTTTTGCGTGCTCATGTTGAGGATCAAAGTTCGAAGTTCGAAAATTGTTTGACAATAAAATAAGGAAGCTATTAGAAAAAAAAAACAAAAAAAAGAATAAAAAGGAAGATATACGCGTATAAATAATACGTAAATATTTAAATGTTCTTCGCGTTATTTCATTTATAACAAAAGAAAACGAAATCCGTTATTATTTATAGAGTTACAATTTACTCGTGTGAAAGTTTTTTTATTATTCATTTTAAAATACTTTAGGAAAAACGAGGATTTAAATAGAAAAAATAATAATTATTATTACACAGAAATACTTACCACATTTTCCGGAATTCGATGGCCAGGTAGGTATTTAACATTCTCGTGTGTTTCATTGATTATCTCAGTCAGTTTCTTTCCATTTATTAATTCCTCATAGACGTACATAGTAACGCGGTTTTCAAATTTATCTTGCGTTTTGGCATTGGCGCCAACTATCTTAGCAATGGCTGATCCCCTGTAAGAAAAAAAAAATAATCAATTCCTGCTTTACGAATTGTAACAATATTATTTCTCGGGAATATATAAATTTTATAAATGAAAAAAAAAAGAAATATAAAACCTTGCGAATTTTTGTTATTACATCTTATTGTTAGATAATATCTTCTATTTGTTTTATGATATTTCATAACACTAATCCTACTAATTTTAGATAGCTGGCATGTTTGTATAGATATAAGATAAATAATTTTACTAAATTTCAAGTATTCCATTTCAGTTTCTCTTATCCGTTATATAGTATCGATTATTGATAAGTTTATAACGTAATATTTACAGGAACAAGTTATCTGTTCATATTTAGTCAGTTACCATCAATCAATATTCACATTAATTTTTTCTAAATAATACGAAAAATGTATTTTTCCTATGTGCGTGCGTGTGTATATATAAAAATAAAAGATTACATAATAATAAAGACTTTGAATTAAATTCATCTTTAATGTATTATAGAAATATTTTTATATAAATATATGCTAAAGAAAAATAATCCAAAAATTGCATTATTTTGTAAAATGATATTAGATTGAAAATAAAAATACAAGTGTTATCTAAGCGCGTTATTTATTTGTTTCATTTTATTTTGTTTCCTTGAAAAACAACAGATGTGGCAATTGAATCTGACTATGTAAGAATATGTATGAGACATTAATAAGTTTCTAGTCACGATAATATAGTCAGGGAAAAAATTTATCATAGCTTGCTACTATTTTATATTTATACAATATCATTAATATAATAATAATAATACTACTATCATTGATATATTAAAAATAAAATATTATTGAAAAACTATTTAGATATTTGATTGTATAAATTATTTTATTACAATTATTTTATTTTTTTTTAAATATCATATCATAGAAAAAAAGAGAAAGACAAAAAAATAACTATAGTTTGTTCCCACATATATTTTAGCCGCTTAAATTCGAAGGTTAACGCGACGACACGCTCGTTAAAAATGATAAAGGATATTCTTATACGCTTGACAACGAATCTACTTATTCTATTTGCTTGGGTACTATTCAAGAAATTAGAAGCTAAATTGAATCTTATTGAAAAGTCGAAGTAACCTTCGACCATCAACAACACATGCGAATCGATGAATCGTTCTTTTTTATCTCTTTTTATCTCTTTCTATCTCCTTCTATACCTATCCTTTTCTTCCGTTCGATAAACCTTAAAATATATATATATATATATATACATCTCTTTCTCTCTTTTTCTATTTCTTTTCTATCATAGACATATTTACCAATTTCCAGAACCAATGATGCAGACGCGTTTCTTCTCCATTTTGTATATTGTAACTTGAAATTAACAAGATACTAATGAATAAAGGAAATTCTGTAACAATAATAACAACAACAATAACCAACAATAACAACAATTAACAATAATGATTAGACACGAGATTCAAATAAAAAAAAAAGTAAATTATTTTTTTCTTTGTTGTTTTTTTTTTTGTAAAGAAAAAATAGTCAATGGACAATAAACCCGTGACGTTAGAAAGCTCCGCCGATTCTGAACAAGAACACGAAATCGCACTATGTATATTTCTACCCGCCAGATAACGTCAATCGCGCATGCGCTTACCTCCATAGAGATGAATTTTTCTTCTTTTTCTTTTTCTTTTCTCTCTCTCTCTCACTCGTTTCATTTAATGTCGCGTCTATATTATCACAATTTATAAATAATCTTTTCCTAATTTTTATTTAGTTTTTAAATTTCAATACTTTGTAATCTAAATGTTTATATAAAAAAATTAATAAATTGTATGTAATATAATTATTTATATATATGAAAAAAAAATTGTACTCGCATTTGAAGTATAAATGTTGGTATTTAATAGGAGACGAAATATTAAAGATATATACTATGAAACGTATATTTTGTAGTCTATTCTTTATAGTTCATAGCATACACTGTTTTGAAAGCTAAAAACATGACAGGAACATGTTTTGCTAAAAGTTTAATTCATTGTATGTTATTGCATTATAATGAACGATGTATCGATATATGCTTTTTGTTACTGTCAATTTGTTTAATTAACTTTTTAGTTATATATATGAGCCACTTATTTGATAACTCTATAAATATATATTTTTTCATATCATTTAATTATTTTATGAGTATACTAATTGTTGCCATTTAATGCTATTAAGTTAATCGCCTTAGTCTGTGAACGGCTCATATAGCATATACATATATATATATATATATAGAAAGTATTTATAATATATTAACATATTTTGAATTTTTATTGATTCTGTGCAATGTAACTACATCTATAATAAGAACTATATTAGTTAATTAAGCAAATTTTTTCTTTTCTTTTTTTACTCAATATTATAATTACACTTTTTGAAAAAACACGGATTAATCAGATACACCTTCAATTATAACATTTACAAGTTACTATAATTATTTGAAACAATGATTACATTACAATTTGGTTTTATATATTCGTTAATCTGATGACATATGTATATATATTTTTGTCTATGTCATTTAAAACAGCCTAATTGTTTTAATTAATGCCCTTAATCCTCGGTAGTCGATTGAGCGGCATCTAGAATAATTTCAAACGAAAATGGTTGAAAACTATAACCCAAACCAGCGTAAAACTTGCTTTGGAATTCTACCCTGTATTAGAAAGAAGTAATAAACAATATTAATTTCTTTAAATATAAACATTATACTTTAGGTATCATTCTTATTAAGAAATTCATTTAAAATTTTTCGTATTTATTTTGTTCTAACATTATATTTTCTTACCAGTGGAGACGAAGAGTATGTAAGAAAGCTGAAAGTCCTTCCATCAGGACTAAAATACCAACAGTTAAAACAGCCCAAAATGCGAATACTATGCAAAGGAAAATACCACCAGCCCAACCTTCACGAGTCAATCCATTCCTCATTACCATAGCCCATAATACTTCTGAGAGTTCTATTAAAAATTTATGCGTTTGTACGGATATGTGTTAAAGATTTTTTAGAAAAAAAAAATAAAAGAAGAAATAAATTTTATTTGTATTTAAACTTACGCGCATGAGCAAGAGATAAAGCCCACAAACGTAAATATGATGCAGTATGCGAAACGCTACCAAGTACATATTCGATAGTATGAATGCCTTGATGTATGAAAACTTCAGTCATATCTTCTTGTTCTTCTTTATGACCACCCTGGACAACACCTGTTGGTTGCATTGCACCAACATTACCATCTACATCACCATTTTCAGCACCATGATTGTTTAACTGCATTAAATATAACAAATAAATTAATTATATAAACGTATGTTAGATAATTCAAATATAACATTGTATTATAATTGTTATGTGTACATACTTGATAATGTTGTTTTTTTGCATTACGCATTAATGTAATTGGCTTAGCTAACAACATCCATGGAATACAAAGGATAGCTATGACAACTAAAAATTTTTGGAATCCATCTTGACCACCATACATCCATTCGTCACAATCTTTCAAATGTACAGGTTTATTGAAAAGTACCATGTTGATAAATGTTATTAATACTGATGGTGCACAGTAAGGACTAGGACGAATTTCTGTAAAAATTAATAAAGAAAATTTTTAATAGTGAAATAATGTTTTTATATATATAAATATAAAAAATGAAAAATTTAATGATATTAACCTGATGTTAAGGTTGCATGATATTTTATCCATTTTATAAACATAAGTACAACCATGTATAAGAAAAGTACTACTAAAAATATAATCTGAGGAATAAATTCGCAAGTGATATTTATCTTCCTTTTGAAATACATATGATTCCACAATCCAACAACAACACCAAACAACATATGCAATACACCAAAGATTATTGAAATCTTCATTTTGTACGAATTTAAAAATATAATTTTATTTTCTGCTAATTGCCATACAGGATCCAAACCAAATGGATAAGGATTTTGTCTGTAATCCGTTGTATTTGGATTTAATTGGAGAGCTCTATTCGTATGAATAGTCTCGTAATCATAAGTGATATTCCAATGTGACCCAAAAATATTTAAAGATTTAGAAAATACATCGTTATATATCAATCCTGTATACATTGAAAATAATCCCATTAAGAAAATAATATATCTGCCACCAAAAAAGATATTCCATATTTCATTGTCAGATTTTTTTGCTGCTAATGGTTTTTCTTTTAAAACCATCCATCCACCAAATAAAAACATAATTAATCCGTGTCCAAGATCACCAAACATGACAGCGAATAAAAATGGGAAGGTAATTATAGTATATGGAGCAGGATTCATTTCTCTGTAGGATGCAACTCCATATGCATCGATCAAAGCTTGAAAACCCTTAGTAAATTTATTCGTACGATTATAAGTCGGTGGATCTTCGAATGTTTCCATACGATTAAGAATAGGAGGTACAGAACTACCACTACGTTCCTATAAAATATATTTATATAAATAATAACAAATGATACATTTAAATAATAGTAAAAATAATAAAAAAAGTGATATTACCGTTCCACGACGTAAGGCAAGCTGAATCGTTTCGATATCTAATACAGGTACCCAACATTCCGCTATCAAACATTTTTGAGTGACATCTAAATTGAATAAGTTTAATGTATGATAAATTGCTTTTATTTTCCGTACTTTAACAAACCAATTTTTGATATTTTTTGCTGCAGCTACTAAGACACGGTGGCGATGATCTTGAGTTTGGCCAAGTACCTATAAAGATTTTCTTATCTTTTAGAAATATGAACAAGTCACAATTAAAAATTAAAAAAAAAAATGTATATATACATATATTATTATTTTACTTAAATACACTATTTTTTATAATATACATATGTTTAATTTAAACATGTTGTTTTTTAATTATAAATATTTACCGTGTTTAAATCTTCAATACGTGTCATCACTCCCATAGCCATTTCCCTTCGATCAGCTGGTGCTTCAGGACAGGGGTATAAAGTTGCCCTGAAACCTTCGCATATTTTTTTAACTCGCGTCTTTAATTGATCACCTTGGAAGAAGATAATAAATACTGATTTAAAGACTTGGTCTCCCTAAAAAAATATCAAGAAAAATAAGTTTTACTATTATCCTACATAAAATTTGTCTATTTTAATTACGTACCGTTGAAGGATCCTCCAAGGGTGTTTCAATTTCGGCTTGACGTAAAAATACATTTCCACGACATGCACGCCATAGCATGCGTTCAAATGCAGGAATGCGTTCACGTAGTATAACTCCAGCAACGAAACTATGAAATACATATGAAAATTAATATTAATTCATAAGAAAATTTCTTTTTTCTGTTTAATATAATAATCCTAAAGTTAATTCTTATTTATGTATTATTTATTTGTATGTAAGTATATCTGATTAAAACTATAACGTACAGAATCAGAGCTATTTATTGAATTATGCAACAGATTGTTTGTAATGTATATATCATTTTATATATTTATATACATATATAAATAAAAAAATGATAAATTACAATATTATTTAATGTAAGTTTCATAGTTGAAATTAACAGTAAACACCTACAACATGGGTGTTATGTAATTTTCAATCTGTATCGATTTTTATATAACTTATAACGCAAGTGAAGAGAATGGATAAATAATCTTATTTTTATTTATTATCATGTGAATATGTTATTGCAAAACAAAAAAAGAACCTTGACTTCTATATTAATATTAGAAGTTTCAAATTTGTTTTCATTGAATGATGATCTCTGCAGCCATGGTTATTCACATACCTATTCTTAAGGGGTTTATTTAAACATGTATAATAATTAGAATGAGAATTTTCTCAATAACACAGCAGAATATCTTGAACAGCATATATGGTCACTCCAAAAATGTTACTTTGTATAAAGGTAACAACACGTATATATGTAGTTATCAAAAAACTTACAAGAATACCGGTGCAACCATTCCCAGTGGCTTCAATACTGTTTAAAATTGTTTATGTAAAAGTATGTGTACATACAGGTATTCACAGCATTAACAAATTTGATTAAATGCGCTTAATCATTGAATTAATGAAAGTTCTGATCTAAAATGATTAAAATATACTTATGTGACATATTAACTACACTATGTACGATTAATCTTACACAGATTACAATTTCGGATTAAATATCTATTTCAAATATAATGATCAACATTCTGTAAAGTTGGAAAAAATTAAAAATTTTACTACTGCTGCGCAGAGTGAAAATATTAGATTACTATAATTATATAAACTTATTGTAGAATGATTGAATATTGATCTATTTAATGATCATGCCATGAAATACCAATTAACATATTAACAACTAATCAACCAAAAAAAATGCTACACTTATATTTTCTATTATATTTCATTTAAGAGATTCATCGTCAATAGAGGATCTATAAAATTCATAGAAAACTATTTCTTTTTTATTGGAGAATTTGAAAGTAAAGTTTCATATATATAAAACCAATGAAAAACACAAATTTATAAAATTTTCATGTTAAACTTTCGCTTATTATAAAAGTAATGCAATTGATATGTTTAAATTATCTGGGGTATATAT